AAAACGGAACTTTGCTAGTCCAGAGTCTAGTTAATGTGCCTAGAAATCTATCAAAACAAGAAAGTCTCCATGCATAACTTTCACTATAAAGAAAAGAACATGCAAAAATAAATAAAAAGAATTTTGGCCAATCAAAAGAACAAAGAGATTTTTGATGTTAGCCAAAACCAAGTAGTCTGGAGTCTTTCAAAGTTGTATATAAAGAGACAGCCAGAAACCAGCCCAAACATTTTATGCAAAGAAAGAAGCAGTCACCTGCTTAAGACATTTCCATTTCATTTGCTTTCTAAGGAAAGCAAATACCTTCTTTTTAATTTGAATATTTTTAAATATTTTATTTTCACATTTGGGAACACCACATAGTAAGCATTTAAATAATTATCTGCCAATTTAGCTTTAAAATATTATATAATCTAGTTAATAAAAAAGAAAATACACTGATAGATGGATTCTTATCCTGAGCTTAGCTGAAAAAAAAAAAAAAAAAAAAAAAGCAGCAATGAGACAAAAGGACTAACATTTTAGTTAAGCAATGTCCTGTTTGGACAACACAAAATGAGTAGTGTTTAAAAATTTTAGTTACTGGCATTTAAGAAAAAAAAAAAAAAAAGTAAAGTGCTTGATGTAATAATTTTTATAATTTGACCATTTAACCATGTATTTAAATAGCATCTTATTTACTGCTTATTTTTTTTCTTTAACTGTCCACATATTTGTTGTTTTGTCCAGTTCATTCGCCATCTTTCTTGAGGTATCTAGTGTAGAATTTTCATTGCTTAGGATTGAAGTGATAAAAAAAAATGTTTGATTAAAAATAAATTCATTAATTTCAAAAAATAAATAAGCGTATATATTTTTAATGTCTTTAAAGCCATGATTTGGGAAATTATTGTTGATAAGTTTTTGGTTTATGTTGCTTAATTCTCTATAAAATAATGGATTAACAATGTGAAAATGATTTTCTCTTCAGACTCAATATTGTATATATAATGTACTCCTGTCCTGTCATTTTTTTATATATATGAGGGTACAGCAACTTAGAACTAAACAACCAATATTATCCACACATATGATTTAATTATAATGGTGAAGGCTTGTGTAGAACCAAACACATTATTACTCTCCTGTGCTATATATAACAAACAGGAATAGTAATTCAAACAGGTCTACCCACTAAAAGTAGCATTTATAATAATAAGAAATAATGTCAGATAAAAAAAAAAAAAAATACTTATTGGGTATGAAACTGAAGCTAGTAGATGTAGATTTGTAGAAGTCCCAATGAAAAAATGTATTTTCATTAATAGATAGAGCCAACCTGACAGAGCAAGGTTTGAATTAAGGCTGAAAAAGTGGTTCCCCTGAACTGGGGTTGAGGGGGAGGTGTGTGCAGATTCGATTCCTGTTGGATGCACAATTTTTCTTTAGTAGGAATTCTCAATTAAGGCCGGTTGTTAATTTCATTTCTTTAATAAACCAAAAGCAGGGATAACAACTCAAACATGTCTACCCACTAAAAATAATAGTAATGAGAGAGAGAGAGAGAGAGAGAGAGAGAGAAAAAGAGGCAAATATGAACAGTCTGCTTCCATTCTTTTATTATCTGATATCAACTATTGTTTTATTGTAACCCTTTCAATGATAAATAATGAGGATCTATATGTTTGTTATAAAGCCACAAGTGTTAAATAATAAATCCATGCACTGTCCCCATTTTCGAAATAAATGCCATCCTACTAAATGTGATAAGGTTAAGGCCAGGATAAAAGAAATCTTGGGACCAAATTGTTCAGACAGACACTGACCTTAAGCTGAACCTCAGGTCAAGGAAAGATTTTGGTAAATTCTTAAACACCTTCATATGTCCATTTATGGTTTCAAAACTGAGTTGGTAATTATAATGAGCATAGGTGTTTATATCATGTGGCATTACAAACTTGAATATTGCCCTGGGAAAGAAAAAAAAAAAGAAAAAAAAAAGGACCCTTGATTGAAATTAGATTTAAATTAAGTGTTTATAATCTTTCAAGGAATGAAGTGGCAATATTTACTTATTTTTGAAGAACAGTTTTCTGAAAAATTAATTTTTTTTTTTTTTTTTTTATTCTAAGACCCTTCATCCAACCAAATTAGCTGGCAAAAGAGAAAATAACTTGTCCAAACAAGATGTAATAGCCTTGCCAGCTGGAGAGAGTGTTTTCACATTTAGCAGAAAGCATTTCACTTTCTTCATAAAACTGGAGGCTAAAAGGCTTTTGGCTCAATCTATTTCTTAAAAAGTCAAATTTATTTTTATTTTTTATTATTTTTTCACCACTTAACGAGATGAGAGAGAGAGAGAGAGAGAGAGAGATGGGGAGAAGCACCCAGGTAAAAGTTAAGACTTTCAATGCAAGTTTTCAAGTCAAGCAGACTCTCTACTTGAAAAATGGCTATAAAATGACCTCCCTCTATTTTATCATTTAGTAAATATTAGATGTCATTTGCTAACACTATCTTCTGGTATGTTCTAAATATTAAAAAAGAAAAAATATTTTAAGAGACAACCAATAAACATAATAGAAGCAGGCATCTAAGCATCACAATAGTAACAAACCTCTGTAATTTGACATCTGAGATGGAACCTCGGAACCACTTAAGCCTATTATTCTGATACACATGCTGAATCTAAATGTGCGGTTTTGAAAAGTTCTTGATTAGAAATCTGACAAAACCAAAGACCCAGGTTAATGCTTTAACAATGAAGCCTAACTACATATAGTTCACTTGTTTATAAAGTATCAGATTTCCACATGCAGCTATTTATAAGAGTTTGATGAAAATAAGAAAAAAGAAGCTTCAAACAGATGAGAATGAAGGCCAATTGGTCTTGAAAAGCACTAAGTTATGCATAATAAAATATGAACAAAGAAATGCCAGGAGGTAACTATTAATAAATATAATGCCAACTTGAAAGGAGAGTCTGCCAGAGTGAGAAGTCCTAGTGGAAAGAATGGTTGTTATTCATCTCATAAAGGGATTCTGTTCTTAGTTTTGTCTTGTGCCATATGTTCTTTCAAACTTGAAATAGTATTTTTACATCACCTCCAGTGTAAAAATGTATGTTCAATTTAAAGATCGATGATAGACTTTCTAATTATCTGATAAACTAATAAAAAATATAAGGAATAATTAACAAATTTAAATAATTAATGAGTGTGTTACATGCATTCTTATCATATTAGATCTGTGTATTTTTTTGTTAACATCTATTTTTCACAATGTTTAATTAAATAATCTGGGCAGTGGAAGTACAGAATTTTATTATGGCTTTAAAAACAGACATTTTAAAAGTATATATTCACATAATATATACAAATATATTAAAACAAAGGAGGTGGAAGAACAAAGATAAAAAAAAAAAAATCATCATGAAGTAGTGAATCAAAAAACACCAAAAAAAATTATAAATAAAATAAAACGCTAACCGGTTGTTGCACCTCACTCTTCATAATTCAATCTAGGACAAAACACAAATATGTGAAGAATGATTAAAAAATGATTAAGGAAGGAAAAAAAAAAAAAAAAAAAAAAAAGTATATACTACCAGGGAATCAGCAATATAAATCAGACAGATTATATTAAGACCTAGCAGCCAGTCCTTCTGCTTACAGAGGGAAAGTTGCCTTGTCTTAATATATAGATCTCAAGTTCTTTCATACAGTAATCTGAACATGCTCTGCTGATGATGTTCTTAAAATTATAAAATGATTAGATTTCAGTTTGAAATGAAAATTTTGTAATTTATAAAACATCTTTACAAAATCAGAGAAAAAAACTTAACTACATTTTGCATGTACATTTTTCTGAATTAAACAGTGAAACTACAAGCCTATAGGTGGGCGTCTAGGTCTAGAGGTAAGTTTTCTACATTCCATACACAAAGCTCTTATGTAAGGTAAAAATTACTGTTATTGATACCTACACTGTTCTGTAAAGGAAAAAAAATGTCTATCATTACACTAGGAAGAAACAAATGAAAGATGAAAACCATTAAGAATAGAAAATGAAAAGAGATGCATATTAAATAGCAGCTTTGTTGTGTGAACAAATAGTTTATTGCAGTTTTATTCAAAAAAAAAAAAAAAAAAAAAAAAAAAAAAAAAAGTTAAAAAGTAATAGTAGTATTAATAATAGTAGTGGTGGTGGTGGACTGATATTAGAGTAAAGTCCCTAAATGAAGCCAGTTTCTACACAATTACCAAAGTGATTTTGATGCAATAGTCACCATGGACAATGTTCATGTGAATACTTAGCTAGCCTCAGTTTTGTGGGGTAGGTCAGGGGGTGGAACCGTTTTTTTTCAGATACTTCTTATCAGAAACAAGTTGGGAGTATGATAAACAGTCAGATGTTTATATATATATATATATATATTATATATATATATATATATATATATATATATATATATTTATTATTGTGTGTGTAACGTGGAGCTAGCAGCAAACATTTTACATTGATATTTTTTTTTTTTTTTTTGCTTTATGGTTTTATTTTAGCTTTGTAAAATTACATACTAGCTTTACACGAATCTTAAGTTATCAATCTTCTTTTCAAAACGGAAGAGATGAAAAACAAGTTTCCATTTTCATCATGTAAATATTACCCCTAATCTAGAAATTATGTTTAAAAAATTCTAGAGAAAAGAGGGAAATTCAAAGTTCAAAACATCTTTTTCCCTTTTTAAACTGAGGGGTTGGGAGCTCATGGATTAAAGACAGTATATGCCTTAACTTACAAATATTTATACCATCATCGTCCTTGTCTACAGATACTTTCATGATGAAAAGAATTTTGGTCAGGATTTAAACAATGCTCAAAAACGGCAGTTCTTACCTTCACAAGGTATCTGTTTCACCTATTTTGAACAGTTCCTACCAAGGACTATACATTTATTGTATATATATATATGTCTGATTCTTATTTGAAAATATGCCTAGTCGCTACCTCCCTGCCTCTCAAGCTTTGAAACAAATGTCTTCCTGAGCTATGACAGTTTGTTCTGAGGATGTTTGTGGAGCAGCCTGACCCTGGGGATAATGGACCTGCAAGTTGGCATGGGTTAAAATGGCATTACTGCTATCAAAGGTCACGACTTGAGTCACTTGCTGCTGCTGCTGTTGTTCAATGGCTGCTGTGTAAGCCACAGCCAAGTTCTGGTCCACTGTGATCGTCTCATGTTGTTCTTGTTCCTCATAGCCGCCTGCCTGCTCAACAATCTCCACCTTATGTTCCAGGGGCGTCACCGTAGAGTACGGGGACACAGACTTGTCCACGTGCTCCACAACTTCAATGATTGGTTTTACATCCGCCACAGTTGGAGCCTGGCAATTAAGAATCGTGGCTGTGGTTGTGCCCGATACAGCTGCAGTTTGGTTTTGGCTCAAGAATGTCTTATTGCACACATCACAGCTGATAGTTGGAATCTCTGCTCCAGTACCTGTACTATGTGTGCGAATATGGACAGTCAGGCTATCTGATCGTGTAAACGTTTTGTGGCAATATTCGCAACTGAAGGCTGCCACAGCACCGCTGTTTGAAGCAGCAGCTGCTGCCACAGCCACGGCCACTTTATTGCTGTCAGTGACAGCTACCAAAGTCGGGGTGGTTGTCACCTCACCCGTGTGAGTTCGGATGTGCCAGTTGAGTGAATTTTCGTTAATAAATGTTTCTGTACAATACTGGCACTCATAGGGTTTTTCTAAGTGCTGGTGTTTTTCAGCCTTGTGCGTAAGCAATGAAGTAGCGTCTGTAAATGTCTTCTTGCAAAATTCACAGATGCACAAAAGCTGAAGCTGGGTGGTATCTGTAGTTGTGGTAAGGGCGTCACCAGCAAGAGCCACTGAAGTTGGGGTGACTACATTAGCAACAACCGAGACTGCTGTGGTGTTTGCATGTTTCTTACGATGCTTTGCCAACACGCCTTGGTCAGCAAATGACTTATGACAGGTTTCACAAGTGTATGGTCGTGTTCCACTGTGGCTACGCAAGTGCTGTGTCAATTGAGAGGCAAATGTGAACTTCTTCTTACACAGTTGGCAGTTGAATGGTTTGTCTCCAGTGTGAGATTTTATGTGTGATGTCAAGTTGGACGAGTGCGAGAAGGATTTTTCACAATATTTACATCCATAAGGTTTTTCACCTGAAAAACAAAAAATTATGCCAATAAATAATGATTGAATAAAATGAATAAAGAACAAATGAAAAAACAAATACAATCATGTCATTAGCTAATATTTTACTTTGTATCAGCACAGGTTGCTTTTATTTTGATCTTGCAAATAAATTGTATTGGATTTTTCTTTTGCATGAATCTACAGTTAATTTACTTTAAAATCATAATAAAATAATACCTATGGATACATGCAAAATTCTATATTTTAACATGTGTCAATTCAAACAAAATTTTTGACAAAAAAATGCTCATTGTATAAAAAATATTAAAAGTTCATGATACTTATTGACTCAAAGAAAAAAAAAGAAGATTAACTGATAGTATGTGTGGTAAAAGAACTTTCAAATTATTGAAACTACTGTCTACTTTTCGACCTTCAAGTTGTTTTTTGAAAGGTCCGTCATTGCGGAAGTCTTAACGGGCGTGTAAGGGGACAATAATTGGTTTTAAGCAAGGATAATATAAATTTATAGATATGCGTTAACAACCACCGAATTGAAAACCTGAAAACCATGAATCGGGGTGGTTAATAAAGTAAAGATTATTCACCTAAAGTCAGTTTTTAGGCCTTAAAGATAATTTAGTCATAGAATTCATGACTTAAAGTTTAGTAAACTTTCAAATAAATTCTCAACTATATAAATAACTACCATATTTATTAACAAATTGGTAAAATATAAAAGAAATCGCCACATAAAACATCTATATTTGTGTCTTAGGACAACACATTTTTGAGAGAGAAAATGGTATAGCTCTCCAGAAATTGGTTTATGATGTGGCTTTTAAAAAGCCAAAAATTGAACCCCACCCCACCCCCATGTTTAAAATAATTAAAAATATGGCAATTCTTTTCTGGTATGCCAGTCAACTTTTATTGGGGTTTTGCAAATAAATTTCTTCTAAACAAGGAAAATCGATGAGTTATTTCCCTCCACACCCTAAATAAATTTCTAGCAAATACTACACCTAAAATTAAATATTAAAAATAATTAAAAGCTTTTAATTTCATTTTTACAATGCGTATATTTCCAAATTTGCAAGTATCACCTGTTCTTTTTTAGATACACATTTTAAAACTGAAATTAAAAACTATTTTGATCATATATAATCTTAAGTGTATTATTTGCTAGATAAAACCATAAAGATATCTGTAAAAATAAAATAAATTTTCTTTGTTTAGAAGAATTTTATAGGCCAAACAAACACCCACTAAACACTAGTGTCTAAAAAAAAAAAAGTTTTGAAAATATACACATTTTAAAACTGAGATTAAAATTCACTTTATATTTTTAATATCTAATGTAATTTTAGTTGTATTCTCTAAATAGTAACAATTTTATTTGTAGAAAACAAACAATTTTTTACACTAGAGACTCGCATATCTGGAAACATACACATTTTAAAAGTGAAATTAAGAACTATTTTAATTAATCTTAATCTCTAATTTAGTTGCATTCCCTAGATAAAAAAACAAATTTATTTATAAAAAAAAATCTTTATTCATTTTTCTTGTTTACAACTTTATTTCGTGACTGGCATACTGACTTACTAGAAAACCCTTACAAAAAAATCCTACTTCATAAAATTTAACATTAAAATGAAACTGGCAACTATTTTTTTTTTTTTTTTTACTTGCTATTTTGTTAACTTAATTTCACCACAAAAAGTTTTTTTTTTTTTTTTTAACTGAAATAAATAGATTTCCAGACATTTTTAACATATTTTTGTCAAATCTTTTTTTCTTACAATGGTATAAAGGTCGATAAAATTTAATTTTATTAACATGTGAAAGTCTTTTTCAATAGTGTTTCTTTGGATATGGTCACTCAGTTGTGACAGCACTTAAAAATCGAAAAGAGTCAGTTTTCCAGTTAAACCGCCCATCTCTAATATATATATATATATATATATATAATAAAATCTTGGTAAACATGTTAACACACATATGCATTTAATTTTATGAAATTTCAATAAATGTGTCGCTACGTTATAAAAACACAAGCCTGTGTTAAAAAAAAGATTTTCTGCAAAAATTTAAACTAAAAATAAATAATATTTGTTTTAATACAGATTAATTAAACTTTAAATCAGTTAATCTTCCTCAAATAAAGTTTCAGAAAAGTAAAGGAGAATTTTGTTGTGCTGACATATTTGTCAATATGGCCAATTTCAGAAAATTAAAAAAAATTATTTCAATCAATTCAGTTTGAAATACGGTAAATTATTTTGGTGATTGGAAATATTAAACTTAATCTATTGGAATTTAAAATAAAAGCTTCAAGATTACATTTCTAAAATGCATTTTAAACCTTAAGTGTCGCCCCTTTTTTTTTCTTTTAGAAAAATTTCTGTAATAATTAATACAATCATTCTCATCTGGATGTTGAAGAGCAAAACAGAGTTGATCTTTGACAAGTATTGTGAACTTTCAATATTTTTGCAACAATAATATTTAATTTACTTTCATTAAAATTCCTTACTTGAATCATAATAAAAAAAAAAAAAAAAAAAATGCTTTATTATAGGAGGGAGATATTTAAAATTTGGGGTTTTTTAAAAAAAAAAAAAAAAGTATACTATAATTTAAAATTTGGTTCATCATCTCTGCACCAAAAAATGTCTCGGCAGATGGTTAAATAAAAAAAAATTACTGAAACAGATTCATATCCTGTCAATTATCTTTTTTAAAACAATGTTGAGAAAAAAAAAAAAAAAATCTTAAAATCAAAAAAAGACAATTTGGAAAAACAAGGATGCAAAAAACCATTTGATAATTAAGAATTTTAAAAGGAGAATCTACATGAGTTTTCGATAATTGATTAAAGTTACTAAATTTTAAGACAGAAATATGGGCTGTGTATGAATAACACAACAATGAGAGTAAAACTATCAGGATAAATTTGATAATTTTAGGGAGAATCAGGCATGACATTTTGAAAGAGACAATTTGTAACCATCATTAAAGTGAATGGAGGATGGCAATGAAACTTAACATAGGATAAGAATATAAAGAATGGACACTTCAATATAAAAAACAAAAATTAGAGAGAGCAGTACAATGGATGGTTTTACACTCATTCATCTGTAGAAACAGACTCTGGTGATATAGCTAAAGTGGTAGTATCACTGTGGCAGCCATGAGATAGAGGATTTAATATCATCTGACCAAGGAATGATTGTTGGGGCAAGAAAGATGGATATGACACAATAAATAGCAAGGAATTTACAAGTAAACAGTCAGTCATAATAGAACCATATATATTTAATGCGAAAAGCTTATAAAAAAAAAAAAAAAATGTAAATTTGGATTTTACAAATAAATTGGAAGTACCTTGTTTGAAAAGAAAAAAGTTAAAGATTTACCATAATATTTCGTAGAGTTAAGTTTGGAAAAATATACATTTTTGCAAAAGCCCTCATGAAACATGTTTTGATAAATGTGGAGGCCAAGTATGGGAAAATTTTAGTGACATACTGGTTCATAGATTTTACCTCAGAGAAACATGGCCCTGAAATTATTAAGTAGCCCTTTGCTAAGGTACTTTTGAATCTGATTCTTGTTTGATTGGACCAAGAACGACAAAGAAGAAAAATCATTTTGATAAATGATTAATTATGAACAATCTTTCTTCAGAAAAATATTTTTTGGAAATTACGAAGGAAAACTCCTTGCTGGGAAAAATGAAAGTAATTCTAAATTTCTCAATGGATATTTTTTTTTTTTTATGAATATTTCAAAGTGTCAAGAAATATCTGGTTTTTAACTTGGTGCAAAAACCTCTTTATTACAAATAATGGATTAACAAACTTCAATAATTTAAATTGCAAAAAAGTAGTTTTGGAAAATGTTAAATAATTCTTTTTAGGCAGAATTTCCTATTTAACCAAAGGTAGATTTGGATGATGCAAAAGGTGTGATCCCACTTCATTGGGTAACAGTAAGAGAGAATTCAGCCAATTAAATTATAAAGTAGAAACATAATTGAAATCTAAGCCACCATCTTAAGCTTTCTCAGTATAAACCTTTCAGTAAACCGACAACACAAAGATATCAGCTAGAGAAAAGGAGAGAATCAGGATATTCTAATGTAAAAATTTCTAACCCAGTTTGTTGTTAAGGAATTTGGTGACTACTTTTGTTTTTGTCAATACTACTATTCTATCCACACAAAGCCCACTTTCTTTCCCCACAACAAACTTTATTTTTGTTATGAATAGCTTCTTAGAAAGTTAAACTGAGGAAGGGTTAATTCAATGTTTATAACCCTGATTGAATAAACAATTACCCCCCCCCAATCATTCTGAGAGCACCAGTTTTTCTTCTCTTTATGACTACATACACACAATTGATGTTTCAACCAACTTTGCGAAGAGATTTTTTCAGATCTAATGCACAACATGGATTTTGTTTAAAAAAAATAAAATTATTGTATAACATTTTTTACCTTCAACTTTAGTTTGTTGATGTAAAAAAATATGACAAAACCTAAGCCAGAAAGTGATGGAGAGTGGACAATGATGATAAAAAAAAAAAAAAAAAAAAAAAAAAAAAAGATGTTGCTTATGTATACCAGATTCAAATACAACTGACCATTTTTGCTCCTGATATTGCCAACATTTGTGTCCCTACATCTTTAATTGTTAGTTTAAAACTAATTTACTTTATGATTAATAAACCCTCCCTATAGGTCACATAATGAGCAAGTTGTAACATTTCAATTATCATTTCCTTCTCCAATGTATACATTGCAAAACTAATGTTGAAAGCAGTAAAATGAAATAAGTGCATATTTAAAAACCTCTTAAGTTATTAACAGTTTTCAGTTGACAGCAAAAACTTAATACGGGCATAGAGTATAGCCAAAAAAGTTTTTTTTTCCGACTCTGTATCAGTCTCACATGAGCACACAGCAAGCATGCAGCATTGTACTGGCTAAAGTAGTAGATTAGTTCCCAATGTAAATGGT